CAACAGACTTTGCATAGTGACCGAAATAAGATCGCGGATATTTGGGGCTGAATTGAGTTTCCTTCGGTAGCTGGACTCTCCCTTAGAGAGTTCAGTTGTCCAGGGGAGACAGAGTAGAACCACTGCTCCTTCACATTGAGAAGACTATATTGACTAAATTGGCTGATTAGGGCATAACACCAAGTTTCCAAAACATTTTTAATATTTTCAAATTTACAGAGATACTGAATTTGGGGTTTTTTATTATCTGCAAAACATTATCATTAAAATGAGATAACAGTTTTGAAATAATAAACTCAATATGTAGTGAATACATTTTTAAAATTAGTAACCTACTGAACTTTTTCAAAATGTTCAAATAATTACACCAGTCGCTAAATATTGATTTTCGTAATATTTACTGCCAACCACACTACAAAATGACAAAAATTAAAAGGATTGCAAATAAAATTATCCAAGTGTATATTTGCATAGTATAGCTGATTGATGTTAGCTAAAGCATATGCAATGAATTTAAAGCAATTACCTTCAATATCATCCAGTGATTTTCCTTTCAGTTCTCGCAGCTTTCCCTTTTCCAGTGCAAGAAGCAACTTGGATATTTTGGCACTCTGAACTGTGGGCTCAGATAATCTGTAAAATTGTCTATGCACAGATATGTCATGTCCCATGAAATCCGCCAGCTGGTCAAGTTCGTTGTTCTTTAGGTTCAGAATTTGAGAAGTGGTTGCAATTTCTTTGCGTAGATGAGTAGATCGCAAGTACTCAGGCTTCTCAGCACCACACTCTTCTGAAAGACATCTCAGTGCATCGTGTCCTCTGTAGTATGTCAGGCAGTTTGGTACAGCAAACAAGTAAGTGTTGGCATCTGGTATTCCACATTCCTTTCGTTTTTCAACCATCAAATTTAAAGCGTTGGTCATTTCAGGTGTTAAGAGCACTGCCACCTTTCTTCCTCTTTTGCCTTTTAGCTCCACACGCTCAAAGTAGCTGCACAGCTTCTGTTCGTATTCTGAGAGACCCACTTTTTCATGAATGCTTGAGCAGTCTCGGCCCACAAAATTATTAAGCTTCATCTTTGAGATCTCTCCAACACGTCGTCTATTGAAGAGAATTATCTTTGTCAACGTTGTTTTTGTTAGTCTTGAATAGTTGGTTGCTGTTGCATCAGCCTTTAATTTTGCAAATGCTGATTCTGTTGTTTTGTCAAGATGCTTGTGTAGTTTACAGACATCTTGGGTGAGAGGTAATTTTGCAGACTTATTGTATTTCAGATCACTAAGTGTGCTCAAGGCACAGTGTGATATATATTCTGACCACTTAGATTGATAAAGTTTTTGGAAAGCCTTTGATGACCTGATTAGATCTTCATCGCCAACCATGAGAGCATGGCAGTGAATGATGTCACTAACCTTTAAAAGAGAGTGTCCAATTTTTAATGCAAGACTTGGAGTTTTGTAGCTGTTTTGCATCTTGTCAAAGCCTGCTGTCTGTTTCACTGCCTCAATTACAGCCAAGAAATTTTCAGGTCTTATAGCTTCCTCAAGGGTCAGAATGGAGGAGATCTTTCTCAGAGTTTGTAAAAACCTTCCAAGCTCACGTGACCTCTGGCGAATATACTCATGTTTTGAAGGATCATGTCCATGTTTACTGTAAATGGACTCCACAAATCGCATAAGGCAAAAGTCATTGCGAACAACACGTGCAATGTCATCATCCTGCATATGACTCAACATTTTCAGGACATCATTTTCAACTGATCCTAAACCACCTGACTTGATTATGGCTGCTAAGCTAAGCACTCGCTTTTTTCCACTGTGTTGTTCTTCCTCTGGCTTGCAGGAACATCTTCTCATGTGTCTCCACAGCTCTTTTCGGAGGAACATTCCCTTGCAGTGGATGCAATATTCATATTTCTTTTCACTCTTAGCTGCTCGCTTAACTTTAAGTGAACCTCTTCCCTTTTTCAAAACATCATTGTTGTACAGAAAGTTTCCCCTGTTTCGTAGTTGTTCCAGCAAATCCTTTCTCTGTTTTGAACCAGAGGGGAAACTGAGAGCTTTAGCTATATCTGGGTCCTCTTTCTCATGAGTTTTAAAATGTCTTGCAATTTTGAATTGAGCCTTCTTGCAAACAAAACAAAAATTTTGCCCTTTTGCTAGTGAGTTCATGCTGTCCGTCTCTGAAGAGTTCTCTGAAGGTTGTTGATGACAATGTTCAGTGACATGATCGTTTTTTTCATTTAAGATTGCAGACTTTGCTGTTGATGTCTCTACAGTAAGTAGTATTGGGTTTTTGTTGTTTCCTTCTTCTATGTCACTGTCTGAATCTGGCACATAGTCTGGGTCGCAATCATTTGAATCCTCATCAGTTTCGTTGTCTGTCGTTTCATAGTCATCCTGAATAAAATAAAAAGTAAAGGTAAAGATATGTATGAAGCAAAAACTAGGGGTGGGTTAGAAAAATCTAAAGTTACATGCTCCAATTTAACCAATTTATAAAAGATCCAAAACTATTGAAGCCATCTAAACACATTTTTCAACAGTGTGAATGTAGACTTTTTTAAAAGAATGTATCAATGTATCACATGCAAGTACTGCATATGTTGTTTCTGAGCCATATCATCCTGATGAATAATGTGCTGACAAAAGAATACAATACACCTCAAACCTTTAATTTTCTGACTTTCACTGATCCATGTACAATTTCTCTTTAAGAGGTTCAAATGTTAATTTATCTGTTATAGACTTAAAAAAAGATTGCATGACAAAATACAAGTAGACCAGGACAAATTAATGTACATTCCTGTCTCCAAAACTACTGATGTCTTCCCACTGGTGTTTAAAATCCTTGTTTTTTAGGAGTCACCCTAGATTAATACCAACTGGAACATAGGTTAATTCTAGTCTGGGTTAAAACTTTTCATTACTTATCCTTATTTTGTCACTGTACAGTTTTTTTGTAGGTTTACTGTCTTGGGTTAACATATAAGGTACTTCGAACCAGCCTTATGCTATACAAACAAACTTAACTTTACTAAATTGACTAAGCAATACTTACAAAGATCTTGTGCCTTTTCACTGTTTTCTCAAAACAGTAGACATGCCACACTGTAGTGCATACTGTCAAAACAAAAACATAAAAACAATTATTTTGGTCAACCCGGCATACTCAAATGAATACCAAAACAATTTCGCATCATATACGGCTCTTGGAAAACGTTTTGGGCTGGGATCAACCTGGACTTCTTTTATTATAATTTTTTATTATGAATTTCTCAATTGTGCAGCATTTTCATATATTTTGTAGATGTGATATCCATAGCCATCAATTTTTGATAGAAAAAATGTGGAAAATGTGAAAAGCATTTAGAAAGGAAATGCTTTGATGCTGAAATGGCTTTTTGATCAGAGGCAAAAGACAATACAATGAGTACTGCCACTGTGTAAATGACCAACACTTGATTTTAAAGGTGAAATGTCCTAAATAGGTGTCCCAATGATCCTTGAAACACATTTTTCAAAGGCTTTATGCCATGCTGTGTATATCATGGAAGTGGTCAAAATTTGTCCTGTCCATGAAGCAAAAACATGCACGCGCACACTGGTGAGCAGTGAATCAACTGTTTTTTTTTAATAATTATTTTATTTTACCCAAACCAGAGTCAGACAAACAGTTTTTTTTGTTAACTATGGAAATGACATGTGGATGGTTGCTTGCTCTAGTCTCAGTAGTGAGTTAAGTCCATCTAGCAGTCAGATTCTGCTTTGGGAGTGCAGCAGCAGCAGCATGGAAGCTCACAAGTATGGCAGGCTGCATTTTCAAATAATCTTCACAAAAGTTACGTTCCAGGTTATGAAAATGGTTTATGACTACACGTTAGTTTTTTAAGTGAGAGATACATCAAATTCAACTAAAACAAATTAAATTGCAGACATTTTCATGTTATATATATATATATATATATA